TGGTATGATGTTGTTGTTGTTGTTGTTGTTGTTGTTGTTGTTTTATTATTAGACATAAGAGCAGAAGGACATCTGTTGGATGTGAATCCAGTTCCATTCAGAACAGGTCACGCTTGGTTCAGGCCTTGTGCCAACTTTTCCTCATACTTTGATTCTGAGACCAGATGCAAATTTGTTGAGAGGACACTGGGTGTGTACAAAATGTGGAGGACAATGGGAGGGTTAAGAAAGTACAGGTACAAATTTGGATTCTTTTCATGCACTTTAAACGAACGATGTGTTCACAGTCACATGGGAAAAGATAAAAGTGTGTGTGTGTGTGCCAGTAGATGGAATATTATGTTAATTTTTTATGTTCATTGTTCTCTCTTTATTGACCGTAGATGGACAGACGGATGGATGGATGGATGGATGGATAGATGGACGGGTGAATGGGTGGATGGATGGACGGACAGACAGACAGATAGATATAGATCGAATGAGCTGTATTTATATGTGTGAACAGTTTCTCTTCTGTGACAGACTGGTGAATGCCCCGCCCCCTTGATTTGCCATCACCATCCTCAAGGAGGTTGAAATAGTGTAGTGGAAGATAGAAGAATAAATGAGAAGCGAACAAATGACTGAGTAAATCATCTTCAAGATTCTTGTATGGAAATAGAAGTGTGGTTCTCAGAAAATTCCAGTCACGTGGACAGAACCTTCCGACTCCCTTGCGTACGCCTCTGTTCATTTTCTTGGTACGTGTCAGGATTAGTGTTTCAAAAACAAACAAACCCAAAAACCATTGACTTTCTGTGGGTTCCTTTAACATTTGGCTGTGTTTTAGATACACATCCATGTGGAGTGGGGTGTTTGGTGAATGCAGCTCCTCTGTGGATCCCTTCACTTTTGGATCCACAAAACCTCATTAAAATGAATTGTAACCTCCCCAGTGCTCTGCGAGTGTGTTTCCTCTCGTGCCCCACGGGTAGCTGGGATAAATAACATTGATCGTTCAAGCGCAAACCTGAAGTTCAGCCCCAGAAAACAAAGTGAATCTGTAGTTGTGCTGATTCATTAGTGCTGTAGACCGTTAATATATATATTTTTTTTTGTCTTTTTGGTTGTTGAAAGACACCAGTGGGTGGCGCTGCCGATTGTAAAGAAAATACAAGTCGCGTAAAGTTAATCTTTACTTGACTTTTACAGTACAATTCTTGTGTTTAAATTAAAAAGTAATTCATTATTACATGACTAAATCAATATTTAACATTGTTACTGTTACTGTTTTGTTAGTAGTATTAGTAGCACTATTGCTGTATGTTGTTTTTGTTATTATGACATTGATTTTTTTTATAAAATCAGCCATTCAAAACCATCTCATAAAACTGGAAATTAAATTTAGCTATATTCTGATCCCATTTAGTGGAAAATAGATGATTGAACTTTTATTTTTTCTGAATATCCAGTTGTAAAAAGACAAATCCAGCCGCTTATCCATTACCGGGTTGTAGGGGCAGCAGTCGCCACCCAAATCCCGCTGCACTGTACCAACCCCCATAAACCCCACCGGGATTCGAACTTGCCCAGGAGGTGACCCCTGGGGTTTCACACCAATGACACAGACATTGCCTCTGGGCCAAAGCGCCGCTGTAAAAAGACAAATAGACATTAAAAAAAATTATATAAAATTAAAATGTGAATTGAGACGTTCACCTGTAGTGGAAATGTGGAGCCAACAGTGTAGTGCAGCTGATGATTTATCTCACAGGTGCATTAGTTCCTGTATTATCTTAATTATAAATTATCTTAATATTAAAATGAGACTTGAATGACACTGCTAATTTCCCTCTCTGCTGTGGGCTAGAGGATAGGATGGGAGCAGAATGTAAATTACTCTATTATTATTTTTATTAATTATATTATGTCCTTGTGAAGCTGTGAATCTTAATGTTTACTTCTTTTCTCACTGCTTTTCTCTGCTGAGTTTGTGACATGATCGTCATGTGACAAATGAGTCTCAGCTCCTCAGACGTCTTTGCTGCTTTCCTTGCCCAAATGTAGCCACTGAGGATTGAACTGTGATGTTTTTTTCATTTCCACAGTGTCTTGTTCTTGTTGTCTGGAAAGAAAATTATCAGGAAACACTGATAAAACACACACACACACCAACAAACACAGTTAAAGCAACACCATTTGACCGAGAGCTGTGATGGCGGCTGACGTCAGCAGACAAACACTCGGTTGACGACTGTAGCCCTTGCTGCTACAGCACTGTGATTATTCTCCCTTTTGCCTCCTGAGTAGAGACACAACAGCTTAATGACACGGTGCTTATCTGGCCTTTATATTTATCTCCTCAGTGGAGATGATGTCTGACACCTCGTCTGCATATCTATTATCACTGTCTTATTGTACATCCCCTGTGAGGATTAAAATCCCCCTCGAAGCCTCACACTTCTAATGAATTTTACAGTGAAATGCATTCAATCCGACATTTTCATGAATTAGCATCATCTATAAAATTAAGGTGGAGTAATTTATTTATAATTTAAGTTCTGTTATGCTCTCTGGGATAGTCTGCAAACACAGTTGACCAAAAAAAAAAACATATATACAGTATATCAAGATGGTAAAACTGTAATCTTTGACAGCGGTGCACACTGTAAACATTCCATCTGGACGTTTTGTTTATAAGTATATGCTGCAACTCCAACGATAAAAACGAGATGTCCTTGAAGTAAAGACGACAAACTCTACATAAAACCAGACCCGCAGTTTGGAAACTTCCTGAGTCACACTGTCCGTCAGGGCAGTCAAGGACAATTTAAGGTACTTTAAATAAAATTAAAACTTTTCTCCTGCAAGTTTAAATTCACTGTAACGCTGATAATGATCACACAGTGGTCAAAGAAAGTCTGAACCAAAAAAGGCTCTGTTTTCATGATAATGTATCATTATCGTGGTTAGCTAGTATTACATACTGAATATTAACGTCCAGAGTGGCTCATCAGAGTAGGTGCATAGGAGTATATCTGTATCTGCTCATTCCTTTATCATTATTGTAAATGTGACAATTAAATAGCCTCATAATGTCCTGTCTATCTTGTGAGACAAAATTAGAAGCTGCCATATGGTAATACCATGGGATCTGATCACTGTGCTGCTCATTGATGGCACAGAAAGAGATCAAATATTACTCTAAGATGTTGGATGGCATTAGTACATTACTGCAGGTGGTGGGGATATTTTTGCTAAGATTAAAAAAAATCTTGGACATTATCAAATTTAAAACATGAATATTTAATGATATGGATCATCTAAACTACTTAGTAATTGTTAAATATATATCGACAATATATGTATATATACACATGAACGTCAGTCGCTGTAAGACAGAGTACATGTGTGTAAACGAAAGGGAGAACAGTAAAAGAGTGAGGTTACAAGGAGCAGAGGTGGTGAAAGTGCAGGAGTTTAGGTACTTAGGATCAACTGTTCAGAGCAGCGGAGACTGTGGAAGAGAGGTGAAGAATAGAGTACAGGCAGGATGGAACAGCTGGAGGAAAGTGTCAGGAGTGATCTGTGACAGAAGAGTGTCAGCTAAGGTGAAGGGAAAGGTTTACAGGACAGTGTTGAGCCCAGCCATGATGTATGGTTTAGAGACGGTAGCAATAGGCAGAAGACAGGAGGCGGAGCTGGAGGTGGCAGAGATAAAGATGCTGAGATTCTCTTTAGGAGTGACAAGAATGGACAGGATCAGGAATGAGGTCATTAGAGGGACAACACAGACAGGAAGGTTTGGAGAAAAAGCTAGAGAAGCCAGATTGAGATGGTTTGGACATGTGTAGAGGAGGGACAGTGGATACATTGGTAGAAGAATGTTAGAGATGGAGCTACAAGGTAGGAGACAAAGAGGAAGACCAAAGAGGAGATATATGGATGCAGTGAGGGAGGACATGCAGATAGTTGGCGTCAGAGTAGATGATGCAGAGAACAGGGAGAGATGGAAATCAATGATTCGCTGTGGCAACCCCTGAAAAAAAAGAAGGGACAAAGCCCAAAGAAAAAGAAAGAAGTATTTATTTTATATATGTATGTTTATATATAGAGATATAGATATACATACATATAGAGTAGATCCCTAATAATGCACTGCTGTTATTACGTGTGTGAAAATGTCTTAATTATCTACAATTAGCAGAAGTGTGTCTTTGTACAGACAGCTCTTGTCTCTGACTGTCCGTATCTATACTGACTGACAACCTCAGACTTCTAAGTGGCTCAGCTCATGTCTTACAAATGTCTCCCCTTAATCAGAGTATGGAGAAATCCTGCTGGTAAATCTGCAGCAGTTGGTGTCTCTAGTCAGTGTTTTTGTCAGTTTAAAGCAGTTTTTAAAAAGCAGGAAGTGACATGATGATAAAGTGGCGTCCAGTATCAACAAGCATTAGTCAATCTGTGAAAACACTTGTTTATGAAATGAAATTACAAATATTTTGTTTGTTTTATTATCGATTATGTCGTTATAATGCAGATTTGGAAACTGCTTGAATTGCGGGTGATGACATCACGTTGTTCATTTTATACAGTAGGGAGCATAGTAAGTACTTAAGGAGGTAGAGAAGGCAGCATTCAGAGTAATTTAGAAAAGCCTTTATGCTTGTTGCAATGTTTCTAACGTACCGCTAGAGGGAAGTACTGAATCAGATTTATGGATATATATTAACTTGTAAAAAGACAGACGTAGTTTGAATATTGAATATTATTATTATTTTTTATTTATTTATTAATAAAATAAACGTGTAAAATTTAATGTTTATAAAACAATGTAAATTGCAAAATATGATATTATTTTTCAAATACATTTTGGATTAATTTAGATAAAAAGGTACTTGTTTTCTTCCTCAAAGGTTGCTGTGTGTTTTTGCTTATAGTAGTGACTCCATGAGTTACCTTTCACATGAGGACAAAACATGTCAAATAAGACAACAGCAGTGCAGTTTCTAATGTGTTTATTTTTTTTTGACATACATTTCATTGAAAAATATAATTCTAAAATCCTTATTTTCGTCTCTTCTAAAAATAATTAAAAAAAAATAATCAAAAAGAATCAGTACATTATGTGTATATTTGAGTTCACTCACTTCAAACACCCCACCTAGTGGACACACTGTGTGCCACACTTGCTTTAACTGTGTGCTGACCTGTGCAGTGGTGTTGCATTAACATGACATTTATTTAGAACAGTTGATAAAAGAAACAAAAAAGACATATTAGAGTTTTGGTTTAAGACAAGTTATCACTTTTTTTCCACCCTTCAGTTTTATGAGAGTCATGATCCATACATTGTGTGGGACGTAGATTAGTAGTTATCACTTATAGCTACAAACCCAGGTTCATCTGTGTGAATGGCAAAATCCCAAACCCACAGAACTACAGCAGTACTTGTTCAAAGTTCAAAGTAACTTCTTTCTAGGATTATAAACATCTAAAAGTTGTATTCTTTTTTTTTAGGCCTTATTTTTTTTTGTTTTTTTCACATTGCAAACAGGGATTAGAACTGGACGAAACACTCTCTGAACTCTCGTTTTCTCTGAAATGATGTCTTCAATATAACGATACAGTGTTTACAACTAACCAACAGATTTACAACAAATAAAGCTAATCTAACATTTAATTGGATTCTGACTTAAAGCGCTCTGTGTTATCATTTTAGTTTGCAAACAAGCCCTTTATTTTTATCTTGCAATATCGAGCTATTTAATGAAATAAAAAGCTTACGTGTTACCGCAAGGGTCTTATATTTTCTTCTAAATCTCTTGCAAAACAAGGATTACAGTCTCATTTAATTTTAAATAACTGACTTGGGGAAAAGCTAAAGCAGAAACGATTCACCTTTTAATAAAGACTTTACCTTTAGTTAATGGAAAATTAGATTAAAACATTTCAATGGACATTTTAACTACAATCATAAGAAGAATAAAAAACAATATATAAAATTGTTACCAACATAAAAAAAGTAATAAAATCATCAGTCAAAGTAAAATGTGTATGTTTACGTTGATCAAGGATACGTTGATTTGCATTGAACATGGGGAAGAGGGATTATAGAGTGAAGTTAAAGCAGTTAAAACAGCATTACGAAGGTATCATCTGCATATACAGATATGCAATGTTAATTAACAGTAAATCAACATAACATGTCTACAGGAATGCACACATTCCCAAGCTGTAATATAGTGTCTTGGATGACATCAACTGTGTAACAAGGACAACAACACCCACAACACCCCCAAATACAGAAGCCCCCCCCCCTCCTCTCGCCTGCCACGATAATCAACATGTGGCAGTTGTTCACGATAAGCATTAAACCTAAAACAAGAGGTAAAGCTATGAACATAGCTTTCCTGCTACAGTAAACAGTAAAATTATTAAAATAAATCAATGTGTATAAAAATGAAGAATAAAGAAATGATATTGGTATATATATTTATAAAAAAAAAGAGCAGGTAGGCCCCTCCAATGACTAGTGATCAGCAAAACCAGCAAAACTGTGACTAAAGTCTAAAGTATAACACGATCAGTGTGTGTAAAAAATAGGAAGTTTAACAGAAATATTTCAGAACAAGTCAGTGGAGAAGTGCAGGTACTGCTGGTGGTTTGGTGCTCTACACAGACCTTTCTGATTCTCTGCTCTTCCAGAACAATTAATTGTCTGGGTACATCTCAATTCTAATCTCAGGCACAGACCTCAGTGGCTCCATCTCAGGGCTGAAACACAAACGCATCAATGATTAGGGATTTGTAAAGAAATAGTCAGAATGACTGCATCCTTGAACTTCAGGAAGGAGCTGTGTACTGTGTATACACACACACACACACACACACACTGTAGTGATCCCTCAGTACTAGTACTAGCTGTGATTTGATGTTTCCTGAGTTAATTTGAGCTCAAAGTAATTTGTCCTTATTCTGCGTAAAGTAAGACAGGATTAGTTTTTGGTGAAGAGGCAGCGCATCGCCTCCAGCACCGGGGTTCTCAGTGGAATTCATGTTCTTAAAAGTGCCCCATTTATTTGCAGTCTTTTTCATTTCCATCACCTGTCCTGCTGATGTTTTTCCTTGTTAGTGCAAAGCAAATCTGTGTCAATCCTCCGTTCATCAACATTTAAAATCAGGGACTCATTATCTTCGGAGGCAGAAACCAAAACACTGTGTCGTAGTTAAGTTAGGTACAGTATGTACTGTCAGTACAGCTGCTGATCACATAGTAGCTCAAACACCACAGTACATTAACCAGGGCTGTAATAATAATGAAATTAATTAATTATTTATAATAATAAGACAGATTAAACAGAATCTTCTAGAACAGGGGTGTCAAACGTATTTTCATTGGGGGCCACATCAGCAATACAATTCCCTTTGAAGGGCCATTTGTAAATGTAAGACTGTATAGATCAGGGGTCCCCAACCCCTGGTCCGTGGACCAGTACGTAATAATAATAATAAATAATATAAAATAAATAAATAAATAAATAGTTAAATCCTGAGAGGATAAGTCCAAACAGTGTCTCAGGGAGACACTGAAAAAAATGTCAGTTTAGCCATGGCTAATATAATTAGCTGAGCTGACCTTTAAAGTTCAAACTTACATTATATGTTAGCCAGTTAGGGCACGTGCTAACCTTCTGTGACCTTTCAATAAATTAATGCTTGAAAAATGAAATCAATGTGTTCAGCTTCAAAAACACAGACACTCAGCTCAGCTCACCTGAAAACGCAGTTGACATGGTACTTATACTTCTTAGCACGATGTATGTCGTTCAGAGGTCGTGGGAATGTCTCCTGTGAAAGAAGGACAAACAGCCACCAGGATTTTAGTCTCACTTGTAAACGCCATTGGTTTTCAGTCTGTGCAGCTGATTTCAGTGACAAGTTCACACAAAGACAGAGAAGAAGAAGGAGTGAGTGGAGTGAAATGACTCAGCTTTTGGCAAAAAAAAAAAAAAATTAGTAGGGTGAGTAAAGAAAATATGGGAATCAAACCAACAGCATCATAAAAAATATTTTCCTCTAAATTCTCCACATGATGCGGGACCAAGTCTGAGGTTCATTGTTAGATGGGTAAAATGGTGGAATCAAGAAAACAAGAAAAAATTAAACTGAAAAACACAAAGAGTCAAAGTTAAAGACATGGATATTTTTCTTAACAAGATTTAAATTAAATAAAATTTAAATAAATTTCAGTCAAATTATAAAAGAGCCAAAAAAGGTGAAAATCAAAGATGCAAAATCAGTAAAATGATTGTATAAATGTTGGAAGACATCATTATAGAATGGTCAAACAGTAAAAATGATTTGAAGACAAAGAAGTACTAACAGTGACTTTAAAGAAGTCTTTCCCAAATACTAGGTTCACAGAAAGGCCACCATGCCTTTTTTTAGGGTGATCACATAATACATTTTATATCCCTTGTTCTTTCATAATTTATTAATACTGTTGCTATTTCACCTAAAGAGATTTGGAAACGGTGGTTTAAAAACATGGTTTTGGAAACTGATTTGTTCACAGATGATGAAAATAAAGACATTAAACAGTAAATGTTAGTATCATGCACAGTGTGTAGTAAATCTAGAACAGAGTAATGTGACAGAACTGTTATCAGAGCAACTGAAGGAAAAGTTAACGGTAAGAGGGAGTGGCGGGATGAGGGAGGAGGTTGCTGGTGTTTCATTCAGCTGGTTGACAGCCGAATCCAGTCTACTCACTGTCAGAGGTCTTATCATCTAAGAAAGGCTCCTGTTCCAATATGTCCATTTTAATGCTGGGAACATTCTCATTGTAAGGGTAGTCGGACTGTTGAAGAGAGGAAACATAGCCTGAGACTGTACTTACTGAAGAGTGATAACTGCGGCTGGACACACATGCATCCATTGACAGCATCAACCAAGTGTGGAGAACATTTGTTGTTAACTAAAAAAGTACAAACTATTAGATATAACACAGAAGATTTTGTATCATCTCTGGATCTCTCCAAGGACCAGCAGTGTGTACATAAAACGTTAAATACTGCAGGACTGGACTCCACTGTTCAGTAGGGCACAGCATACAATTAACATTTACCATTTAAAATAAAGATTATTAGCCATTTTATAAAACATCTGTATTTAACAATTAAGTGATTCCTTATCCAAATTAGATTCCTCTGTGTTCCACTAGAAGGAGCCAAAGTGCCAGTAGAGCAGTGTTTCCCGGAGTAGGGGAGCAGAACTACTGTGGGGCAGTGGAGAGCAGCAGTGCAGATAATTGTAAATTTCAATATGTTCTTGATTTGTGCCACCATACAAATGCACTGGTTTGTATTATTAGAAGTATTCAAGGAAGACATGAAGACCTGCAGTTTTTAAAGCTATAACTGTGAATTTGTCAATGTGGTTGACAGCGGGGAGGGGTCAACAATAGTCTCATGTACATGGGGGATGTTGCAGAAAAAGTTTGGGAAACACTATGCTTGTGGTCCAAGTGCCACGGTTTGAGATCCCCTGCTCTACATATAACTCCTATAACTGAATACATGTTCCTGGGTGGGAGGGGGGTTATTACATGAGCTGCAGTGTGAATGTGCTTCTAAAAAACAAAAGAGGAAATGATGTCATTTTATAACTTACATCTTCACCATCACTATCCATCCCGTTTTGTCTCTTCTTCTTCTTCTCATCCTCCTTCTTCTTCTTGTCCTTCTCCGGTATGACATCATCCAGGAAGCTGAGGTCATGCTGAGAAAACATGTAGTCCATGGCCTTTCTGACCGCTACCAGAGCAAGGATCTGAATATGGGAAGTGGAAACAAAGGTGGATCAGTCTGAGTCCTAGTCTCTGGCTTCAGTTTAAAGTGAATGAGTCATTCTTATCATAATTCTCACCATGACAGGGAAAACGATGGCTGCCACAGTAGACTTGAGGATCCAGAGCATGGCCAAGCACAGTATCTGGATGAAGGTGAAGAGGTGGACCTTCCTGAGGGGGACGTGACGCAGGTAAATCAGGTCTGGCTGGTGTTTAGTTGGCATCAGGAACAGCTTCAGACGATCCATGAACTACAGACACATTAGAAAGATCAGCAGTGTTTCTGCAGTGGTTACAGGCTCCATTAGAAACACAGGTTTAAATCATCAGATATCGGCAGCATTTCCTTTTGATTTTTTTGATTTTTTTTTTACCTGTACTCCATTCAGAGAAGCTACTCCCATGTATAAGAAGACTCCGTACAACACAGGCATGGGGATGAACTAGGTACAATAGAAAAACAATGACAAGAGTCAGAATAATACATTTAAACTATGTACTAAAGTATTTAGATTTTCGTTGCTATTGGCTATTTAAAAATAGTCAAGTTTACAGGAATTTGTTTTTTAACAGAGAAATATATATTCTATAAATATAAAGGCACTAAACGTAGGGCTGAGCTTTAGCTCAGTCTGTAAACCTCTGGTGTCAATCTCATTTTAACCGGGAGCCACATCAGCAATACAGTTCCCCTAGAAGGGCTGTGTAATATTGTTTGTTGCTGTGTAATAATAATAAAAAAAAAGTATTTATCAGGTTAAGAAACACTGCTGCATGGACTTCATTAAATGCTTTTTAAGCTCTGACTTGGCCCCCTGGTCCTTGAGTTGAGGACGCTTATGCTGTAAACAATTCTAATCATGAAATGTTTGAGGTTTTCTCTGTTAACTTACCTTCAGTATTGGAGCCATGAAAACAGACAGTCCTGTCAGCAGAAAGACAAACACTCCAGTGATCCTCTGCTCTCTACATATAACAAAACACAAAGAGAGAGGATGTTAAAAACAACAACAACAACAAACCACTTCTGCTTAAAACTGTTGTTAAAATTGTTTTCTTTTTTTCCTTCTGAACAACTCGGGCATTACAATATAGGGAGTTCAGCCGGAATTTTGGTGTTTGGTGGTCTTGTTTTTTCTTTTCAAAATAAGAGTTTGTTAGTTCAGCTGACAGCTGACACCACAGGAGGCTCTGGACTATGTCACACCAAAACACCAAAAACCGACAAAAATGAATCGATTAATGCAATATATACATATATAAATGTATGTATATATATATATATCTAAAAACAGTCCATATATGGCAGAGAAGTAAATAATCAGAATAAAAAAGAAAATACAATGTTAGTATAACATAGTACAATAGTATAGTATAATATTAGTAATGATAGAATTTTTACCTCACACCCAGGAACTTCGGCTGCTCTCCGGGAGCTGAGGTTTCCGTCTCCATCTTTAGACTGTCGATGTGAGCAATAGATATGACGGTGGCAGCTACATACCAGGGCAGACCCGTGAAGGAGCAGATCACCATCAGAACAGCCACCCAGAACAGGTCCAGGTGGTAACCTGCTCCTTTCTAGTAAAGACAGAAAAGGCAACTAATGTTATTTCCATTTCTATTTGATTAATGACTTAGCACCCCCTTTTGGAGATAGGACTGTTGTCCTGTTCTTTCTAAACTGAACTGGAATTAATGTACCATTTTTATTCCTTAAAAATTCTATTCTTACTGAATAAAATAAATAAAATGATCATTTAGTGCCAATAGTTTGGTGTTCTGTGCTACTGAGGAGGGCCTGCTTAAAACTGTGAAACACAGACTTCTCTGAAAAGATTCTCCAGTAACTGTGTTTAAAGAGCAAAGGAGTCAGATGTCTGCAGTCAGAAAAATCACCACTCATCTTCTTAGACTGAAAAGTTAAAGTTGTCTCTTTGAGCACAGAGACACTTTCATGTAACATCTGTCACCTTCCTGAGAAGTGCCAGTCATTTTTAACTACAGTGTGTAGGAAGCCTGTCCCTGTAGTGGCTGCTGTTTATGATTACACAGACATAAAAATCCTCACGTCGTAGTAAAGACAAAGGACAACGTATGGTGACATATGGTGAAGTATATGAAAAGTTGTCTGCCTTTTCCAAACTAAAGCTGCCTTTTCTCAGACATTTTTTATTGTTATATTTTCAGTTAATGTTGGTCATGGTCCCTAAATCCACAAGTCTGGGACATGTTAGCATTGGTCTTTCACCTTCAGCTTGTTCTCCTTTCTGTTGACGATCACAGCAGTTATCTGTTGGTCCATGAATATCAGAATGGTGACCAGCAGGGCAGGGAGGGCTGATGCCAGGCAAACCCACCAAGGGTTTCCTCCGAAAGGGGGCACGAACCAGCCTCGCTTTGGATTCGTTGGCTGTTGAAGAGAAGCATTAGTAACCAGGCATGGACACTGTTTATATTCAAAATACATAAGGATTGACTTGTATTAACTCCCCATGCCCCTCCCGAATGTCAAACACCTGAAACTATAAAGTACAATCAGATATAAAATATATATAAACAAATATTAAACAAATAGTAATAAAAAACTTGGTTAAAGCTATTGAAAATTTGTGCATTTTAAGCAAAACGTAAAAACAGCCACTAGAGGGTACAGTATAATGCAGTGGATCCAAATTGTTTTCACTGAGACCCAATTTTTACCCCAGATATTTTTTCTTTTTGCCAGCTCAGATATTTTTATATGCTGCATTTTATTTTTTTACTAGACATTTTAGGCAACCCCACGTGGGTTCCGGACCCCAAGATTGAAAAAGTCCAATGTTTAAATGCTTATCATCACAGATCCCCTCTGAGCTGTAGTCTGGTCAGAAGACCACTGACACTTAGAAGAAGAAAACCAAAATGAAATTATTGGATGTGATGATCAATTTTGCATCATGGGATTATCAGGCCAGATGGTCTTGTGTCTTGTGAAGACCCAAAAACATAAAAAAAAATAACAGAACAAAATTCTTGTAGGCAGGTAATGCATTACCTTGAAATCACTTGGCACAATCAGTTTCGGAGTGTTCACTCCCACCAGAACGTCCACTCCACAGAAGATGAGGATAGTCAAAATGATGGCAAAGTCACTGATGAGTTTCCTCACCTAGTTCAAAGTAAATAGAGTCTGCATAGATAAGCATTTCACACACAGAGAGACAAAACACATTTGTTTTCTGTACACTTGCTGTGTTTCGTTATCAAGCTCAGCGTGCCAAGGACTCACCGTAGTGGGAAAGAATGGACTGGTCTTGAACTTCTTCAGGGTCATGGAGCAGGTGTAAGTGCCAAAGAAGAGCATGTAGGACATGAGGGTGATGTCTGGGATAAAATTACAGGCCTTACCCACCAGCACCCCTTGGTACATCAGGCACTCGGTTTTTGATAGAGATGACCATGAGTTTATTGGCTGGAAAGAGGAGACAAAACAGGATAGTCCACCACTGCTCAACTGATCAACAACCTTGTGCGTCACTCGCATCGTCTGGAGTGCAGAGGAAGAGAACAACAATCTGGCTGGGTCACAGAAACCTCCAGTTCGAAGCACGACCACTAAACAGTATTTTTTCTCATTAGTTTCTGTCCTTCCGAGATTTGTGACTCATTTGTTTCAGCCTTGTTAAAGAATATCAGGGCCACTCCGTCCTTCTGTTTGAGTACATTTTGTATGTCAAACTCCAGGCCAGCAGATTCGATCCGGCCTACCGATGAGACATTTTCAAACTATGACTGAAATAACAGATGTTTTTTTATTACTTTGGTCAGTGTGAACAGCTGGGGTCAGGCTACATCTCCAGGTCCTGGTACTGTGTTACAAAACTGGACAGTCACCACCAGTCCAGTCAAGACAAGTCACGTCAATTCTATACATGGAACCCAAAGTTGCGTGTGTATGTGTGTGTGTGAACACTCACAGTGGAGTTCCAGGCCAAGGCTGATGGACTTACTATAGGATCATCTGTAGAATTCACTGCCGAGACACCAATACAGACAAACTCAGTACATGATCACACACTTACTGCAGTAGGTCTAACAAAATATAAAATGAAAGTCATAAATATATAACATATAAACATTACATCCTGGAATTACTTAGTTCCGTGGTTCTCAAACTGTGGTACGCGTACCACCAGTGGTACACTCCTATTTTCACATTTACATTTTCAATTGAATAAATCTGAAACATACAATGCACAATTAATACAACAATATAAACATAAACATCACTCTAAACATTTCTAAACATCTCTCATGTGGTGGAAGCTAATAGTGAAGGCCTATGCTGCGATATTCTAATCTTGGTCATCATGGTTGAAAGTACAAGTTAACAAAGTACTTACCAGAAACAGTGGGGGGCATACACTTGCAGTCGTACTGCGTGATGTAATCCATGTCATATCCAGAATCGATGGGGTACTCGTGAGCCAGCTTGAACATCTTCTTGAAGGCATCGTAGATGAAGATGAAACTGATGAGACAAGCGAAGCCTTCCTCTGTGAACCGGGTGAAGTACTTAACCAGGAAGCTGGCATCAGAGGCCACCAGAATCAGGCAGAAAACCGCCGACCACAGACCAATCCACAGCCGGAACTCCAGGTAGTCAAAGTCGTGATCTCTGTGATGGGGTTGCAGAACAATGCAGTCATGAAAATGTTATCAGTTTCTTAATATCCCCTCACCTCACAATGGATTTTCATATTACCAGATGCCTTTGGCTCTTCAAATACTAGACAATTAACAAATAAGAAGAGACAATTAAAATAAAAAATCTAGAATGAACCTGCTGAAATTAAAAAGCAGTCGTTCAAACACCAGAACTGGACCGGTGCTGCTGAGGATGGTTAGAGGTTGACCAGCAAACAGACAGAAGAGTCCTCCAGCAATGGCTGTTCCAAGAAAACTCTCCAACACCCCCTGGACCAGAGGGAAACATGAAACAGTCACTGTTACCCTAAGGAAACACAGCTAATACTGCACACTGATTAACGAAAAAACGTAATGCTCTGTCTGACCTGCATGTTTTCTGTAGCGTCGCCCAGCAGGCCACCGAAGGTGATAGCGTTTGTCACAGTTGCCAAGTAAATGAACAGAATGGCAGAAAGAGCCTGAATGTGAATCGCATCAGTGAAGTCAGAGAGGAAAAAAGGCGTTTTTCTCTTGATGTCAAGTATGAGGCCCCCACAGAAACTAAAAAAACAAATAAAAATAAATTAAGTTCATTAGAGGAGTATATGAAATTTTTTACACAACAAAGTTGTACAAAATCAGAAAAATAAAATACATTTACATAAACACCACCAAACAAAAGGCCTGTTTAGTTGAACATATGTGATATACCCTCAGGAGTTGAAGAAAGACACACAAAGCTCTACTTCAACAGTTCACAATTTCTCTTTCCCATAATTTTGTTACCACTTTGTGATAGAGTATTTAACTGTTCTGTATGTTTTTCAAGAACAAACTGCGTATCTTTACAAAAAAAAAAAGTGGCGGCATTATTATTATTGTTATTATAAATACCGTCCTGTCTTCTTCAGCTCGTCTCCTACAGTATGTCCTCCTCCTTCACCGTGACCTTCATCATCAGGCATGTCTACGTTGATCGGAGGTTCGCCTCCCGCATACATGTTCTTTCTAAAGAACACAGGTAACAAACTTTTGATCACATTTACAGTAGTTATCACTTTCCACAAAATTTGAAAAAAAAAAAAGGGGACCATGAAAGTAAGAAGTTGCTTGTTCTCTGAATACTGTTTTCACATATTCAACCTTCTTTATAATTCATTACTTTGCTCACACACACTTGAGTGATTTTGTGACCACTGCGGTGTTGTTAGCGCTGACACAGCAATTGAGTTAACCACCTTTTTTTTATAACTATATTTTTTTTAAAACTCATCAACAACACGGCTCTCTTGGGTTTTTGTATTTGTATAAGTTTAAACGTGTGTCTGTAAAATGTGCTGCGTCAACTCTCATGTCAGCTCCTGCATGTGTGTTTTCTGCCACCTCTGTGTGTGTGTGTGTGTGTGTGTTTGTGTGGAAAGGACTGACAAACAGCCTGAGGCCCCTGTTAAATGAGTGACAAGAAATAAGTTTCTTTCACAAAAGGTCACCACAAGAAAATCTTCCTTTATAAGGCAGACAAAGAGTAACTTTTACATTTTCTGCTTTCTAATCCTTCTCAATAAGTCACTCTATTTAAGAAAGAAAAACAAATTAAAAATCTATATATATGAATGTGTGTGTATATATATGTCAACCTTAATATAGTCATTAAATTAGTGGGTTTATTTGTATATTTGATTGATGGGCTCTAATTGACTGATTGGAAAGGTACAACACATCTTGGGTTAGGGTTAATAGGAAAAACAAAAAAGCCTTTTTGTAAACATCTGCTTAATATAACAATGGTGGTACTGTAACTTAAAACAAAACCTTTTCTCAGAGGACGGCAGAGACTTTGGAGGTTCAATTCTGATGGCAGGGTCCCACTCTCCAGGAGGAAGCACAATCACCTCATCCAGGAACTCATCAATACCAGCCAGCAGGTCATGTCTGTTCTTGGCTTTGTAGGCAATGTCATGGAAGATCTGAGCAGACAGGGGTGATGCATTCATGTGTGAAAGAGTTCTTTTAAAGCACGCACCAAACTATTGGTTACACAAGGAGAGAAAGAGCACACACATGCAAACTCACAAACACACATGCCCTTGACATCAAAACACACAGCACTGTACTCAGAAAGACATATTTTTATTTCTGAGATATAAAATTAGTAACAAATTAGTTTTTTCATATTTGTTGTAATTTATTGTATATGATTTTTTTCCCTAGGACCAAGCTATTTCTTTTTTTTAAATAAATCCTAAAGTACTAATTTGGACTTATTTATTAATTTTCTAGGGCTCAATTCTGACAAGGATGGCAGGAGGAGTTCAACTGTTCCCAGCAGTCATCAAGGAGGTTACACCCTGGACATGTTCATCAGTGACATCACACGACCACATAACAACCATTCACACCATAAATGGTCCCTTTTAGTTAATTAGCTGGTTCTGCATGTTTTTGAAGGTTGTGCGTGTTCCAGTCAGACTCACCTCATCTGACATCAGTGTGGCTATGGCTCTGCCAATCTCATGGTAAGACTTGCCTTTACCTTTGGGTCCAAGCAGGATGAATAAAAACCTGCAGAAAAAAACAAACAAAACAAGCCCCGAAAACATGTCTCAGTCCCACAGAGTAGTGTGGCTAAATAGTCATCATGTATAACAGAAGCAGAATTGTGAATAAATATTTGTCATCACATTTAAGTCATGTAATATATTGCATAACAGTGATTCTCCAACCTTTTGTACTCTGTACCACCTGAGAAAACATTCCACCACACAGGAGAGATGTTTACCATTAGAGTACCATTAGAGAGCACTCCAGTAGTATGCGTACCACAGTTTGAGAACCACTGTTGTATAATATTTAGGGGGCAGATATCAGTTGTAAAAATGAGAAAACATGATTTATCTTTAAACTTGTAGAGAAACGTGTTTAATTTTTATGTTTGTTTAACATGTTTAAGTCGGGCAGTTATAGATGACAACTCTCTCTGCCTACGTGGACTTTCGTGACTACATGACCAACGTGTGACCCCACCCCCACCCCTTTATCAAACCCATTAAAGTACCTGGTGGGAACAGGAACCTCGGTCAAAGCTCCCAGCATCACAGCTTGCCGCAGCCGAACAAATGCCACAAATGGAGAGTCCAGGAAGTCCACCTCCCCCACCAACACGTTGGAGGCCTCGGCGTCTCTGGGCAACTTCTTCATAAACTTGTTCTTCAGCTGAAGGTACAAAAGACAGGAGACATTAAATGTTAGGTTCACACCAGCAAGCTATCAGTTAGACTAAATGAAACCACCTATATCAAACAGAACAGATCTCCCTCAGCCTGAATGCCAGAGCAGGAGGCTCCCTATTGTATTCTATTAACAACCTCAGATCTGTTTTTCTTTCTGTCACGGCCATGGTGAGATGTATGGAAAAAAATACTTAGTAACTTAGAGGTTTACCATTCCACCTGCTCTGAGTATTTGACTTCTTCAGTTGAATCTTTGAGTAATTGTTGCTTCATTATTTTTTTGTTAATTGACATTTGTCAATTAGAACCACACTCAAACACATGCACTGAGTGTAAATAAATGCACTGCAGAAAAATAACATATATACTTACATACATATATCTTTATTTTGTAATTATATGTATGTACCGTATTTTTCGGACTATAGAGCGCACCTGAATATAAGCAGGATCCACTAAGTTAAAAAAAAAAAGATATGTACGTATACACATTGACTCAGCTGTTCGTATTAACACAATACTCGTCGTAATCACGGTGGTGACTCACCTGATCTTTTTCTGGTTTGTCCGAAATGTCGTTCAGGCTTTTGCATGCACGGTGGGTTGTAGTGGGACTATCTGTTAAAAACACAGCCACCGTCAGCAGACCGAACAACCTGACCTTTGCTTGTGATGTAGGAACCGATTGTACAAGAGGACGGAGGGCGGCAAAGGAAAGACAACGGGCCAGACAGTTTGCTCTGTCCGAGCAGCACGGAGGAGAATAACCAAGGATGCAAACCACAGACGAACTACAGAAAGACAGGAAACCGGAGGCTGCTCAAACGAGTAACAGACATCAAGACCTGGTCTCTGGTATGTGAAGATCTGAAGGAGAACCAGCTGCTACCATTTATAAGCATTCTGTTTTCTAATGCAGGGAGGCTGGAGACGGTACAGCGGACTAGATCAAGGATGGTCTGGACATTCTTATTCTTATTATATTTAGATCAATACGTATTATTATAATTTAATTATCTCGTTATGAATGTTAACTCAAAGTCCTTTTCCACCAGGTAAGGAGTTGGTGTCGACCAACTCGTGGACGAGTGGGACCTTCATCATTGCAGGTAAGAATCCAACCACTTCTATCACATAATGTTTTTCACAGTGGAATCAATCTCTGCAGTTGTCAGGTGAGGGCAAACTTTACCCACGCACAGTTCTCCGTTACAGAGCCACATTAACAGCCATTCACATTCCCACCTTTGGTCATTTTAAAGTGAACAACTAACCTTGTCTGACTGGAGGAAACTAAAGGAAACTCCTTCTGCACAACGTCAGAGTGAGGCAGTAGTCACAACAAATAGGAGTTTCCCAGGAGGGACAAACTTAAACCTGTGTAAACTGTCATGCTCCCAAAGTCTTTTATCCCTTTTGCCCCCAGGGTATTGTGGGTAATACCATTTGTCAGTATGATGCAGCCATGTAAAACATATTTGGTCCAAATTGAAGGAAATAAATCTGGGAGTTTTCTTTATGCTCAGAGTGAACTGTTAGAAACCTCAGTCTGAATGTTAACACCAGGTCTAAGTCATTAGCTATCCACAGTGTGGCCGTAGACGGCATGAAGTGAACTTACAGCCCATGGCACTACTGCTTTGCTCCTGCAAGTCTTCCATTAAAATGTCACCCGGCAGGTGAGTTAGAGGATTTTCAAGAGAGCTGCTTGCTTGAACTAGCAACATCGGGTTAGCAATCCAGGGTAGAAAGTAAGGAGAGAGATGTTACAGTGACAGTGGACAAGGCACAAGAGATATGGAAAATAAATAAATGATAAATATTGTAACCATGGGTCTTTGGACAGGAGAATATGTCAAGTTGTTCTTTGACTGAACACTGCATGTACTTTTCCTTCCTGAACATGGAACAAGATCTTCAAAAATAATACAGCTCTTATCTCAATAATGAGACGCTCCACTATTCACAATTTTCTATTCTATCTATTCAGATGTTGAACGAAGCAGGAACAAAGACGAGCTGATAAATGACCCTCCAAAGACCCAAGGCTGTTGATTAACACACATTAACAGTGTGTAGACACAGTGGAATAAGTAATGAAGGCATTCACATTTGTGATGTTAATAATTACTTTTTTTAAGGCTTTTCCTCAAAAACCTTTAAATCCCACAGTTTAATGCAATTTTTTTTGTGTGTGGTGGTGATTCATTACAGGATGTGTGGGAATTACTGACAGAGTTTAATTGCTGTGCATCGATTCCTCAGTGTTTATATACAATTTTTTTATAACACTTAACGTAGAAATTTTAAACTAAATTTGTTCTCTAGACAGGCGGGGTGTGTAAGTATACGCAATTGATTTTGACAGAAGTGAAGGATTAATTTGTCGTTTGCAATATTCTCTGATCCAGGATCATTGTACAATAGGATTTCCCATGACCCTGACTTTTGTCCCCCAGGGCCACAAATACAGCACACAGACTTAATCCGCCGGGGGACATATATTCAGATGACTCATTACCGATCAGTCACACTATGTCTCTGTTAGTACAATGAGCTGTTAGTTTGTAAAACATTGTTGGAATTGGTCGGGCAAATATTCCCAAGTTGGTACACGTCCAAAAAACAAAAGAAAAATGAAAGTTTTGTCAGGTTTCACTCAAACCTTTATGTAACAGGCAAATGGGGGAAAACAGGGAACTGTGGGAGGATGTGTTTAGCAGGTGAAGTGTTTCTCTGTTTAAAACAGCACTGATGAAGGTATGTTGTTATCTCCAGTAAAAGTGAGAAAAGAACGAATAATTGTTGTTTCTTATTAATAGAATCTAGTTCTTCGTAAAGGATTAAATATTTTTCTTTAATATTCTGCCTGATAAAGGTTCAAGTTCATGACCAAAGGTCAGATCAAAGTTTGGACTGTGTTTTAAAGAGGCGTACCAACAGTTTGGATGAGGAGCTCGATGTTTATTGTGGCTAGTTAATAATGTGTTAGAAGATAAATATATGTTGCTCTAATGACATGAATACAAAGGTTATTGTTGTAACAGAAGGTTTTTCTTACCCACTGTTGAAGGAGAAGCCTGTTGTTATCATTAATGAGTTAATGCATGATGCAGTGAAGGTCAGCAGTGTGTACTTTACTACTCAAAAATATACTTACTACTCTTTGTTATATTCCTAAATACTGTTTTGCAGCAGCTCTTTTATTTATTTTTTTTTTTTTCCTGAATATTGTGGCTTTATATGATATCAATAAATGTATCCACATTTTAGGTTTTTCTAAGTATCTGAAAACATATAATGTTTTATATTTTCCTTCTTTTTTAAAAATCCATAGCAAAATAGAAGACTGCACCAAACTGGCATCAGTATTACCGTTTTCCTGGTTGGAAAACAGCCTACTTGCACTGGAGACCGTCTTGCCGATGTCAGCCAGAGAACGCAGATTGGACTTCTTGGTTTGATGGCGATGTTTACGTAGCAACGTGTACATAACCTTGTTCTTAAGGTTGGCTCTCAGCTGACCAATCTCGATCTGGTTGTCGGTGATTTGCTCTGAGAGAAAAGAGAAACAAGGCAGACAGACGTTGACATTTTGCACAACCTAATATCCATGTTTTGTTTGGGTTTTTTTTTTTTTTTAACAAATACTATTTTGTAATACTACTAGACCATATGTACTTGAGAAAAATCATCTTCGATCTCTCCATTCAGGCAGCCACTCTGCAGTGCCCAAGTCCTTTTAGTATTGTTAAATTTCTTTATCAGAAAGTCCAGCCTGTCTTTTAAAAAGCAGATCAGAAGTGCGAGTGCTGACAGATTGAAGCCTGAGGGAGTTCTTCCTCCTGTGAAGGCTAAGTGCCATTAATGACCCATTCATCAAGTCAACCGGCCTCAAAAATAAGAGGCCCAGCTCTGCTCTGACTGTGCAGTCCATGCAGTTACTTAACTACTTCACATTAATTGCCCAGTGGTAGCTCTTCCTCCTGCTTCCTTATGCATACCATGTAGACACGATTTTAATGGAATGATGATTTTCTTATGCTTCAAAGAAAAAGATTCAACTTTAATGCCAAGAACTATTTAATTAATCTGCTTTATATGCTGCATGCTCTGTTTTGTAATGACAACAAAGGCGATTCTATCCTAACATTTAAACATAACTAATGTCTGAATGTATTAACATATATTTGTGTATATATATATGTGTGTGTGTGTATATATATTTAAAGGAAACTTACCAACAACCTGAGGAAGAGAGGAGGCCTCCATGTCCAAGATGATGGTCCCCTTCTCAATACATGTCCGCAGTTCAAAGAGACTGCTCAAAGACAGCGTGGCAACGTGAGGTTTACTCCAACGTTCGCCACCTTTCTCCACCTTCTCCTCAAACTTGATCCACCTGGAGAGACGTACAAGTAAAAGTCGTGGTGAAACGTTGACACAATGTCAAAAGAAAACTTCACATGAGAAAATGAGAAAAAAACACAATTACCAAATGTATAAACACTAATGATGGCTCGATAGAACTGTTTCATGTCCAATACTGATACCGCAACATTGAGTGTAAAGTGAAGACAAAGTCGTACGAGGGTAAGTTGAGCATTTTGGCATTTTTGGCAAGTATCGGATTGGGTGGGCTAAATTTCTGACCAGACTTTGTATTTTTTTGTTAATCAATCAAAGCTGAAGTGCAACAATAAGTTCTCTATGTTGTGGTTTAAGTTTGGTTTTGTCTTTGTTTTGTTTTTTTCACCTCCCCACCCCAGTGCCCCGAGGTGGTCTTTCTCCAGTGGTACTGAGTAGTTGTTTGTAGGCCAGGGATTTATTTGGACAGTTTGGCTGCCAAAGTTGCACTTGGCGTACACCCAGTGGAGCCACTTGTGAAATCTTTTATTCAACGTGTGTCCCCTGAGTGCACTCCACACCGCTTATCTTTATCACTGCTTTTATTTGTAGATTTTGTTTTCTGATTGAGCAAAAACCGAAACCTGTGTTTTAAAACCTAATGCATTTTTATTGATTTTGATATGCGGCAAAATCTACTTTTTTTTTATTTAAAAAATAACCCCAAAATCCCATGTTAATTTTCTGCATTCCAAAAATTTCTCGAATTTTAAAAGGTGCAGGAGCTTTGTAGCATTTTTCTAAAATGTTGGACAAACAGGATTAACACTTGTTGAACAGATTAATACTAACAAAAATTTAACCAGATATTTTGAATTTGAACAAAACGTTTTCTCTTTTTTTCTCAATAAATTAAATAAAAAAATGAATTCAAAATAATAATATTAAACAAAATTGAAATTAGAGAATTAGGCTATGTTAACAGGATTTGACCTCTGCATTTAACCCATCTGGTAAACATTAACATAGACTTTCCAGTATAGACTTTAATTTTAAGAGAGCCAGACTCTAAGCTAAGCTCCAGTGGGCCACATATTATGGTAAGGCGGGCCACATTTGGCCCGTAGGCCTTGAGTTTTACATATACAATTTAAAGGGAAGTTCTGAGAGGAGGCTCTGCTCACTGTTCAACTCTGCAATCACTTCTCCTGGGGTAAGAGAAGGGTATTATTTATGCTTCAACAACAATTTCATCTGCTGCTAGGAAACTGGAAATAAAAAGAACTGTCCACACAAATGACCAAGAATCCACAGTAATAGAAAACTTAGTTATTAGTAGAGAGAGAGAGAGAGTGGGGGGGGGGGGGGGGGGCGGCGGGTGGGTT